TGCGTCAGCTAGCCTGAAGGTGGTAGTAGACTGATACTTAATCTTGAATTCGTAACCCGGAAGTGTGGTCGCCCATCGCTGGAGTTAGTTGGCTGTATGAATAGGAATTCATTTCTTTGACCCAAAAACTGCAAGTAGTGGCTTATGGTCTGTTACTAAGGTAAAATGTCGACCATATATCATCTTGTGGAACTTTTTCAATGCAATGATAATTGATAGGACTTCTTTCTCAGTTTGGCCATAGTTCCTATCGGTCGTTGTCAAAGATATCGCAGCGTGAGTAATAGCTTTTTCAGACCAAATAGGAAAAGTTTGAGAGATGACTGTACCCACACCATAGTTAGAAGCAGCTGAAGCAAGGACTAACGGTAGCGAAGGATCGTAACGTGTCAATAAGAGATTGGAAGTTAAGAGTTGCTTGATTTTCTCGAAAGATGCTTGACAGTCCGCAGACCAATTCCATCTTGTGTTCTTTTCTAGTAGGTAGTTTAAAGGAGCACGTAGACGATGGAGATCGGGAAGGAAGGTACCATAATGGCTGACCAATCCCAAGAACGATTGTGGGGTAGTCATGTCCCTGGGTCTAGACATTGTTCTCACAGCTTCAATGTTTTCTGGATCTGTTCGTCTTCCATCTTTATCTATTATGAACCCAAGATATCGTACTTGCTGCATATAGAAGTTACAATTTTCCTCTCCGAGGCGGAAACCATAATCGGCTATGCGTCCTAGTACCTGGTCCAGTTTCGTCTGCAGGTCCATTTTGTCTGCTGCCATAATTATGATGTCGTCTAAATAAGCTGCTGCCCCAGAAATACCTTGTAACATGGTATCCATAATTTACTGGAAAATAGAGGGCACCGTCTTCACCCCAAAAGATATTCCGTTATACCGGAACAGACCTTTGTGTGTGTTGATCGTCAGGAGATCTTTGCTTTCGTCAAATACCGGGATTTGTAGATACGCGTCTGATAACTCCGATTTCACAAAAAATCTGCCACCGTCCAGTTCAGCGAAAAGATCTTCTGATAAGGGTGACGGATATTGGTGAGGCTCTAGAGCTTCATTTAATTTGGTAGAGTAGTCTGCACACAGACGGACGCTTCCATTCGACTTCTTGACCACCACTATTGGTGCAGCATAGTTCGAGATGTTCACAGGTTCAATAACACTCATTTCCTGAAGTCGTTGTAATTCTTGTTCAACTATTGGAAGAGCAGCACAAGGTAAAGGCCTTTTAGGTCGAAGGACGGGAGTAGCTGCAGGTTTTAGGGTTAACGATGCTTTTGCCTTCGTACACTCCCCTAATCCCTCTTTAAACTCTTTGTGGTGTCTTTGTAGCACGGCATTTTTTTGGCTCCACTCTAAAGTGTCGTCAATTCTGATTCGTCTACGGATGCTGTTAACAGAATGGTCTGCTAGTTTAAGTGTCTCTACAAGATGTAACCCCATTAAGTCGAGTTCTGGCGTCTTTGTAAGATATACTGTTGCATTCGTTGTTACATAACCTTTAGAAACAGGGCAGGGCACTTCTCCAACAATATTTAACTTCCCCCCAGATGTACTGTGTGCCAGTTGTGTTGTTGGGAGAACTGTGGGTCTCCCAATGTTCCTCCAGGTTTCTGAAATGACATGGGTAATATCAAAAGCTATATCAAGCTGCGGGCGAGTACGGTGTTCATTTAAATCTTAGGTTATGTACTTTTTTTGGCTGCGATTTCGTGCTTGAGTATGTGATACCAATATTCGTTTTGTTAATGCGCCAGACCTGTGTTTCATGAAGTAGGATTTTGCAGAATATCGTTAATGGCTTTTTTTCTGCATCTGGTTTCTATATGGCCCTTCCGATGACATTCACTGCAACAATGTTATTTATAGGGGCAGAACCTCTTATAGTGCCAACCACCAATCTCCCAATTTCGGGGAAGCCGCCTTGTCAAACTTTAAGGAAATGACACAAAAACCCCGAAATTTCTTCAGACCTGGGGAATTTCCCTAAGATTTCTTCAAAATTTCCCCTGAATTTCTCACTTTTCCCCAAAACTTCACCATAGTCTTATAACAGTTTTCAAACTCGTTTTGACGCAATACTTCTCCATATATCACGGAAAAACCAGGCGAGAATACATACGTGCAGTTTTTACTGCAACGTCAAGTTATTTTTTGTCAGTTATGAAGTGCCAAAGAAACTGAACGTTAACCGATCTATCGCTGTAATTAAAATACTGATTTGTGACACGCAGAAATGTTTATTACGGTTAATAAAATTACAAATCATTGATTTATACAAGGTTTTTTGATGAGACTCAAATTTATGGACGAACCTCGAACGAATCTTCAGTGACCTTGACAATTATTAGCCAATCAGAAGACAGTTGGTATGAAGTAAAAATACATTTTAGGAAACTAATGAACTACAGTGGATATTCTTTTTTTACGTGAATTAAAAACTTGTTAAGGTTTGACAAAGATTCAAATGTTATGAAATCATAATGCATACTATATAGGAACTCCTTCATTTGGTTCCATAATAATCGACCGCTGGAGCCGTGGTATGGTCTTAAAAATTCCTTCAATCTCGACCACATGGCTTAAATGTTGTTAGTATGAACGCCGGTAGTAGGGTCGACAAAATGGCGTCTATGCACTACGATATGATGTACATACCCAAGTCTATGAAGACATCTATACGCTCTTCAATCATCTGTATATACTGTAGTGTCAGGCTGCACGTATTCCTTTATAATTGGCATTATTGTGTTTGCCTGACGGTTTTTCACCCTCTGGAAATGCCTCTTTTGCGTTGAACGATCATAAATTCCAAGTACCTGTCAAGTAGATTTACCGTAAGGCTACGTACCCAATCTTTCTTAATACTACGTCCCCTGTTGTATTTTCACTTTCACACTACTGATTCATCTATTTCTACAATACTTCCGACTCCTCCGAACGATTCGTGTAGACGTGTCATTCTAAGTGCACATATATCACGACAATACACATACCACTGGACGGCTGAAGTTTCAGTAAAATTCGCGAACGCCGCAGCCAGTGTTACTGGTGCCTATATAATCCATATTGCAACAATTATCATGATTTGCCTCAGTCTCAGTCGCGATCGAGAGAAGTCCCCGTTCGAGCAGACGTTTTACCCCAACATAAAGAACAACGAAATACAATCTCATCACGATAGTCTGAACACTGTACTGCAGTCATTTGATTACCTCAGTCTCATCTTTTGTAGCGGCTCAACAATCACCTCTTCTCTAAAGTCCGCTGTAAACCGATCGTATGTGAGTACCAAGTGTTGAACTTAACTCCGTGACCTTGAAATTCCTCAAACGCTTCTGACTGGCTCGTCCATAAATTACGGTCTCGCCGGTTTTTTAATTGCTTTGTAACATGAGCAGGCTACGTAGAAGATGAACTGTCATTCACAATGTTTTGCAAAATTAAAAACGTACTTTTCAGTTTATAAGCAAATGCCAAGGCATGAAAAACGTTGATGACGTACCAACGGTATAACAATGTTGTTGATAATGCGAACAAAGAACTTAAAGTCACGTCTGTCAAAACTTGCCAAGCCAGCTGAAAGCAAGATGGACAAGAAACAACATTTTTACTGATAAGTAAAAAGTCGTATCAGTAAAAATATTGATCACAAAGTAATATTATAAATGTATTATGCATTACATCAAACATGTAAAGTGCTTTTAGCTGGACTTACTTTGAACGGTCGATCATGTGGAGGCCTGCACATGACCAGCATGGGGATGATGGTTTGTAGCTGTTATTACGATAATTCTGCTTCCTGGAACCTTGTGAGACTTTTCTCTCGACCACATTGACGTAAAGGAAACGGTTACCGTTCTCTACCATCGAGGTGTCATGCTTCAAGTTTATTAACCTTTGTCATTCGGCAGTTACTTCCTGCAGGGTCATGTTGAGGCAGTGTTTGACCTTGCTTAGGATTCTTGTTCGGATGTCAGGATCTTCGGGTGAACGCAGTCTACAGACAAATACTAGGCATTTAAACCGATCTTCAGTCATGGAAGATAGCTTGAACCTTTCACTCTCTTGGTTCACAATTCCTACAAGTTTCACCCAGTAATCTCCTGGTTCTTTCGATATCTTCGAGCATTGGTAACGGATATTAAATAGAGATGACTGTTATCCAGAGATTTGGGGAAGTTTTAACTGTTTCATCAAAACTAAATTCACGAGCTTTCTTCGAGAGAATGAAATTACTGTGGCGTTCAGTTCCATTGTCCCAAGTTTTCTTAGAAGTATTCTGACTTTTGAGGCGTAATCAACTCTTCAAAGATCAATATAGAACAATTCTTCATTTTTCTTAAACCAAGAATAAAACATTACACGTGCTGCGCCGTCAAAATTAAATTCATGAATGGCATTATTGATTGAATCGGTATGAGATACTTGTGATTCCCCAAAAGCAGGGTTTTGCTGGGACATGTACAAGTTCTGCATCTGGGCTCCCATGATTCTTATTTGGGACTGTTCAAATCTCTACTCTTGACGCTACATATGAGATTCTAACTGCTCTAAAGAAATATTCATTGTAGTTTCCCCGTCACCACTGATATGTCTTGCTAATTGAACGCTATATTCAGTTCCCAAGCTATCCTCGAAACCCCAAGCTAGAACTACGCAGTGACCTGAACTCGAGAGAGAAGGCACAAAATAAGCGAAAAGCACTTTACTCCAAAAGTTCATTTTTGTACAAAAACCACGGGTATTTATAGATGTTAACATTTGAAAATTCAACATCATTATTATTATGTGTGCCATAGTTAAAACTAGTAGATATTGTCAGTGATAAAAAATCATTAGAATAATCTAATACAAATACGTGTTGAAGAATTCATAAATGACTTTCACCATATGACATTTACAATTATCACGAGGTCAATAGTGCTAAACCTGACCCAAATCACATGCTTGAAAAGAGTATAAATGGAACTACACAAGTTTATTCCACTGGTTTACGAAGAATAATGTCAGCTAGTTTCATAATCCTGTTTGTTGTACTTATATGCTTCACAGAATGGTCACTTGAGACAGTGGTAGATACTACTGAGTCTCACATCAATTCGACTGAATCACAATCCACTTTGTTGCAGGCAACCCTGCAATCATCAGACTGTTTACGGCTGTTTGCTCCACTCTTAGGACGCTATTATTGGATTGATCTTTGCGACAGTAATAGTTATATTGACCCATATTTTATGTATTATACAAATGTGATTTGTTCACATCGAAGTTTTCTGACGACGAGGTACTGGATCGTGTATTCGTAAGTTCCCAAACTATTGCTCACTTATGTGTTTCATATGGAATGTCCGTTACACGTTTTGAAATAGTAGACTATTTGGTCACTTCCTGTGTGATACCACGATGAGCGAAAGTAATTCCCATCCTTACTTATGGTTTTCGCAAAATGTCACTCTACTGAAATTTCTCTCCTCATATTCAAGTATCTAGCATTATTAATTAAATTTATATTTACTAAATAAGATTATCACAATGAACTCTGAAGGTATTTTGTTGACAAGAACAAGAAAACTAAGCCGATATCTTTTCACGTATTAAATAGTGTGTTCACGAAGGTAAACTGGATTCCTTGTAGTAATTTGTGCAAAATACAATCAATATGGAACAATTCAAAGAGGATATTATCACAATTGAAATACACCACTTCACTTGGTATTGCTCGCTTGTTGTTTAGAATTGCAAGCGATCAGTGAACATCAACTCTGGGATGCAGATGCATCCAGATGACGAGTTCCAAATACGATTAAACACTGTACTTGTTATTTCATACGTTCTGAGTGATAGTCAACGTTATTGGTAAGATAGTTATTTTGAAAACTGAAATCGAATCAACAATCAACTGCAATCAACGAAGCATTGTATTCTAGTCACAATCAGTAAGCGTCATGAAGTTGCATGTACATAATAGATTCGCTTACATCTATACAAGCGTTAAGTGGTCTATAATCCTGAGACATTTCATTCAAATCCGAACTATGAAGATTTCACTTTCATAAAGTACCCATTGCATCTAGTTTTCACGATGTTTGCTCTCAGAGTAATGAACCATTTATACGAATTATAAAAGGAAGGAATTGTGAAAACAAACCATCTCGAATTGGTTCATAATACTGAGTATGTGTTCTTAGTGAAATAATGTCTTTGAATGTTTGCTGACTGAGTCATGATACACAGCAAACTTTTAATTAATTAGAGGAAATAAATAAAATACAGACTTTGACCAACATAACTTGACAGATTAATTTTGCGCGACAACCTTGAGTGGATTATACTACGAGACATGATGTGTTGAATAGACTGATATGATAACGATTTACAAAAGTCCTATACCTTCTAATATAAATGTCTATTAGATGAATTTCTTCTAACTTATTTGGGTTATCTTTGTAATAATAAATGTAATAATGAAATGCACCATAGGAAATTATTAGGCAGAGTCTGAAATTAATAATTGAAAGAACCGGTTGGTCAAAGAAATGTAATGGTTACCTTGTGTAAAACTATAACTCTTATCGTAATCGTTGTATAATCTGTATTTACGTTTAGCATAAATGGTATATTTACAACATCTTGATTTCAGTTCATTGTAATATAAATCAACAATATGACGAATTAAATTATTAGTTCTCCTAGTTCAGTAAAATTCAATAGGATAATATACTTGTCATTATCTTGATCCGACAATTCAAATTGTATCATTCTCAGGATATTCAAATTAATGATCCTTAAAATGCTATCGATGATGTAATGGCCTATTAATCAACTGAAATTTCATACATAACTGACGAAGTTAAATGAAAATAAAACGGCGAAATTTTCCATTACAATAAAAAAATATTATGTAATGAATGGAATACCAGCCATTTGATGTTGTAGTGTCGATTATTATGTTAAGCCTATATACCTTATTCTAACTTTCGGACGGCCCATTCTTTTCATTCTACTTGAGTCACATTCTGACTTTGTTATTTATTCGCTTATCAATCTTGACTGTTTCTATATGAGCGCGTAGGTGTGTATACATTTCTTATCCCATTACTCATCACATGTCTGCGACTTTTTTTAATGCAACTATAAATATTGATTGACGCTTGATTAAATAGGAGTTGGCTAACCCGCCATCTCCACTGCGCGTCGTTTCTGTTCTCTCTATTTCATTCGCTTCATATATAAAATATATGTATTCACAAGTCTATTCTCGTTATTTGACTTATTTAATTCCGTTATTGACTAACGTGATTTAATTCGATAATGATATACGAGAATAGGCGATAACAAATATATTCATACCATCTAATCAGAGTCAGATCCACGGAACACTAAAGTGAAGAGCCCTTTCGAAAACATCGTTCGCTCTGAATGACGAGAAAATTAAGGGCCCCACAATGTAATCAATGTATTGTTTTAAACACTTATATTATTATACTGGACATAAATAATTTTTATTGACCTATTAAACTCGATGCCTTTACATTAAGCTATTATGAGCATGGAATTATATATAAGACGTAGATGATATATTTCAGGTCGAGTAAATTAGTGAATTCGTATTCAATACTGTACAAGTGTACATGTACATCAGATTTTAAATACTAAAACAATTCATAAGTTTCTAGTAAAATTAGATTGTGAATAATAGTGTTATCCAGGGAAGTACATTACAACCTATTTGGTATGGTAGTATGAAGATAATGCATTCAGGATACTCATATACCTATGAAATATAATCAAATATAGTCCTGAAACTGAACACTGAAGAAGTAATTTAAGCTCCTGCATGCATAATTTGTATATTTGTTCACACATTGATATAAAAGAATATATAAAATAAAACCATTCATTTCTCAGGACGACAGCTTTCCTGAGGGAAACTTCGAAGGCAACCAGCTACTAGATGGTTCTATTAGTCTTTCACTCCATGTTTACTGTACACCATCAAGTTGCACATCAGAATCACCACCGTCCTCCACCAGAGTTTCATCTGACTTCAACATTCACAAGTTGTCAGCCATTTGTATAGAATTTCGGGCACTTCACTTCTACCTGAATTTTGTGCTGACGATGTCATTCAGAATAATGATGAAAACTCCATGACTAAACCATTCAGCTTAGAGAACAAAACGCACCAAAAACAATCATATACTTAGGTTTGATTAAGTGAGTTGCCAATTCGAAATTATCAGTATCCTCAGGGTACATACGAAGTCTTTGGAAAAGTCATTTCAAGTGATTGGTTTGAATCTGCTATTATTTGATAGAAACATTCAGTGACTCGATACAAATGAGATAGTTACAGTAAAATCGTCTTCAATACATTCAATCATTATTAAAATTGATATTTTGTCCAGCTCAAATTTTCAAAATTTTATTTTATTACATAGGCGACACGAATTCCACGGTCAATATATAATAATTCCGCCCGGTGAATGTAATAATTATTTAAGGCAATACGGAATGATGTCAGTTGGGTCAGTACTAAAATGCACAAGAGTAAACCAATACGACACGAACTATTACTGTCATAGGCCACAAAGAACATGGTTGCCGAATAATCAATTTCCACAAGGCATACCTCCATTCGGACCTCAATCGATTCAAGATCCATTTGGAGGTGTGCAGGCGGCGAATATTCTTGGTCCACAAAATTAACGTATGACAACTGTAATGGATTCAACTTAGGTTATTCATTATAAAAACCTTTTACTGTTACACAATTTTTTTAATAAACGCTACAATATGAAATAATCAAAATATATTTTGCAATTGTACTAACCTAGATGGTGATATTTGTGGAAAACATTTATTTACCTGGTCCAATTTTATTTAAACAAATCACACGAAATGATTACTTCTATTTAGACTTTGAAAATCAGTCCACATAGATAACAAAATGATCGGATCAAGAATAAATGATCAATCTGCCATAGCGGTTGATGGAAGATTTTCAATCTCATAGTCAACATCACGGAATGATCATAATCAAACAATAGCCGAGAGCCAACAACACTAGATAGGCGCTTCGTTCTATTATGATACCACTCATCAGTGAGCATCCAACACTCCACCACCAATGATCAAACCCAGGACTTCAGTTCCTGGTGTAAACACCTGATTTCTAGACTACTGGGTGAAGCTGAACATCCTGGATTTGAAACGTGGTATCCGGGTGATGGGTGCTCACTTCTGAGTGGCATCTTACTTGGAGGGAACATCCGTCCAGCACTTACGTTTTTCAACTGGCTAGATAATCACGATTATTCCTTAATGTTGACTATGAAATATTTCCGTTTTTATCAACCGTGCATGTTTTACCTACCCAACTTATTTTAAATCTTGAAATGATATTCATAGAGAATGTGAGCCCTTTCCTCTCGATGCAAAATATAAAATTTCAGCAGAGAGAATATAGGGTTATATATTTGAATAAAGATTTAGTGAATATAGTTTATGGGTCATCAGTGTATGTTCTGTTTCCATGAAACGTTTCCAAGCAAAACGATTACATCAAAAGACTTTATTTATAGTGTGTGCTTTGTGCATTACCGAAGGAATATCAATCATACTGTGATAATATAACAACCTAATCAGACTAATTTATGTAGGACATCTCAATAAATGTAGTTGGATTATTAACTGGTTTTCGCCGTATCAATAGGCTTTCACTCAACCCTGGATAACAAAAATATGAATTTTAGATGATAATCACGAATGATTAGTTTCATCGAAGTGAGATTCTAAAGTGAGTTATAGGTGAAATTGTTGTTCTGTTAATTCGAACTTCAATGTCGATTAATTACGAAAACCTTATCTTCATTCTGTGGATATTCACTGGGAGTTTTATCATCAATGACGTTACAACATACGTCATGCAATCTGAACTGATAATACATACATATTCTCGACCACTGAAATACACATTCCATCCAATCGTCAAACTTGAAATTACAACATGAGTAGTAGAAAATCCCAACTAATCTGACGAACACATCCCATGTAGTCGACACAATAATATTCCCTATGATAATTGCAACGTACAAATAGTAGGCTTCAATTCTTTTTATAATGTGACGTTGTATATCCAGTACTACCATAAGAAAACGAATCAATCGATAACTTGACATTAAAAATTACGTTATTATTCATTAAATATGACATTATGGTAATGTTTCGTTTTAGGGTATATTCCGCTAGCTGTCAGATAACAATCATTCACTAAAAAGAAGGATTAGAATATCAATGTTGTATAGTTGCACTTATAGTCGATTCTCAAATAATTTTGTTTAATGTTCATGTATGTCATCAAATGTCATTAATTTTGAAAAAAACAAACATTAATCATAATGGTGTTAACCACATTGTCTTTCTAAATAAGAAAACGATTGCTCGAATGAAATCGATTACACGCTGGCACGTATATCAGCCAAAAGTAGACGCTCAAATTGAAGACAGTAAACAAGTGTGAACAGTGTCATCGTGCATTCAAATCTTCAGCAGGATTCGAACGAATAAATTGGCCAAATCAAGAGTATCCGTGGTCCAATGTCGCATAGTTGCACTTATGGTCGATTCCCAAATAATACTGTTTAAATTTCATGTATATCATCAAATGTCATTCATTGTGAAGAAACAAACATTAAGTATAATGGTGACAATCATATTGTCTTTCGGACTATGAAAGCGGGAATAAAAAGCGAGCAAACTTTTATTTTGCAATAAATATTTGTATTCTTACTAAATCTATTGAGCATATAGTCTGCACAAACTACATATGGACGTGATATACATTGCTTCAATTTGGTATAATTATAGCTCATCATTCAGTGTGACGATAAAAGCTATAAGCTTAGGTCAATCCTCTTCTAATTTGATTTTTAAAATGTCTTGACTGAATAATGTATTTCAAAAGACAAAGGGGAGCAAATGAAGTAGTAACATTTCATAATTTTCCTTACAATCTTTTCTTTCAAACTGTAGAAGCACATCGCCTCAGTTAAAATGGAACTGGAAAGTTACGAATGTTCATCAAGTTAGCTCCTGACGTCTAGTAAACAGAACTTAAATAAGGCATACTGATATTTCAAATCCACACACACGATTACAGAGGTTTTCTACCATGTATTTCAAAAGGTTTTCAAAGTCAGGACTTCTGGTAAGCGAATCAAAAGTTGAAACAACGACTGTCCCTACTGTGTAAATATCGTTTTTTGTTCTCTTCAGGATGTGTATACACTTTGGTATAAAATCTGAAGCGAAGAGATATTGATTTGTATCTACCTATTAATAAAGCATTATTGGATCTATTGTTATTTATATTTCCTTGATAAAAATGACCTTTCCTGACTAATGATTCATTATTAGTTTATGTGGAGTCGGTTATTCTCTTGTAACAGTATAAAAAATCATTGCATGTGAGGTTAGTAACGTGAATCTGTTTTTTTCTTATTGCAGGGAAGCAAAGAGTCAATGTACTGGAAGAAGAGGAAAAATCCGTACGTGAGCTGAACCTGCAGAACGATGGACAAAACTATTTTGTAATAAATTTTCCTCTTTTGAAATCGAACCATGTCTTTCAATTCTCAAAAATATATCTGTTGTGCTAGAACGTCGCGTTCTTACTTCAGAGGTATTTACCGGTTCTGACTGTTGTGTTGTTGTTTTAGATCACTACCGAGTCCAAGTAAGCGTTAATACGACGTGCTACACTCTAACCAATCATTTTTGGCACCGATTCTCTGTTGATTGGAACAATTTTCAATGTAAAATTGTGCTTTTATAACTAGATAATTGTCTATCAACTTACACAGACTATGCTTAATAGAGTTTTCTGAACTACTAAGTCGAACTGATTCAAACATAATCACCCTCTTGAGTCAAAAACTTGTGCATTACATAGTTTAATTCGGTTTACATGATATAAATTAGTTTGTGCGTATTTTACATTCAAACACACCAATTCAACTTGTCGAATGAAGTGTTAGACATATAGGCTGAGCCATTTGAAAATTTATTTATATTGGTGCAAGAAAAATATGTTCTCCCTGTTCACTGACGAATATGATTATTGGTTAGTGGCATTTCCCTTGTTTTGTGCTTTTGAAGATATGAAGGTTACAGCTTGAACAAATGACTTGTGAATCGCTGCAATATGTACGTACCAAAATATTTGCTTCAACCGTACTAAAGGAAACACTGACAAACAGGACCATATATTATTCAGACTGTTTCGCTGCAGGTCAGACCAACCAGCACATTCTGACGTTGAAACAACTGTCGTATGTTTAACAGGCCAGTAGCCATTTCTTGCACTGTATGCTAATAGTTACAGTATGTAACAAAACAAAAAGTGATCTAAATGGTTGTTATATGTTGACAGTACAGATAAATGTCCACTTGCAGTCTAGATATTTCCAAACAATATAGTGAAAACAAAATTGCCATTAAGTTTTTCTGATTGAAAAGTTTCGGAAATCGACTAGAGCTGAGTAGCACATACTAATCTTTGAAATGAAGTTTCCAACAGGGAAATGGCATGACATCAACTTGTAACTACGTAACAGAAATAAGAAGTTTACAGCAATAACCATCCTGTGAAAAACAAATCTGAAGTGAAGTTTGGCTCACTCCTCTGAGAAGTATTCAGAAATATTAAAACCCTCTTTCATGAAATGGCAGTAAATAGTAGTTAATTTATGGTTCACTGCCTCTTTGATACAATCTGATGTCAATCGAATCTTTACCAATGTAAAGAGATTGTCAGGCCACGCATGTATTGCATACGTGTGACTGTGCGCAACTTCACATACATTTGCATTATTCAATCAATATATCTCTAATATCTGCAGAATATATACACGTAAATCATACTCCCGACTGTACCACGCTCAATATAGGTCTGCTTATCACAGTTCTAAATGCTCTTAAGTAAAAATAAAGTTCTAGAATATGATCAGAAGGAGCAACTATTCATAAGTGAACCACTAATGTGGCCGTTTACTTCACACTGAGTGAAGTTCAATCGAAGTTGGGTGTGTATAAAGAGAAGAAATCCAAATTCATAATATCCAAAACGATTACAATAATCACGTCGATTTGGTCCAGTATACAATCGAAGACATTGTAATTTTGTATTCCTCAACTTCAGTAGCTTTCATGTTGCTCTCGATTGGTTTGTGTTAATGTTGGTTGTAGTTGTGTCTTTCCAGTGTCCACATAAGTGAAGTAAAGTGATCCATGGAATCAAACTGACACCATAGTCCACTCAAAATTGAAAATTATTCGACAAGAATGACCTCTAGTAATCTCGACTACAATAGGTCAGCTCATGACATCAGTGATCGACCAACAAATACTTGAAATTATCAAATGACACTAGTGATTGAGTGTTTCATGTGACAGAAAATGATCAACAACTAGTCAATTTATCATGTGTATCTGGTGAAAATCATTGTATCCCGTTATGAACAAGACGTGGTAATTAGCAACGTATTTAGATTCAACATTGACATTTCGTTGCAAAACAATATCCAGCTCCAAATTATTTCAAGGCGGAAATTAGTCTTAAACAGTATAATGATTTGTCAAATAAGTGCATAATAATTGATTTACATGAATGCGTAACTTTTAATCACTGTGGAGTTCGCTGTATTTATCAGTAGGTAACCTTGAATTCCCATGAATTGGAAGTGGAGGAATGTTTCGATTTACTGTACGGTGTCACGCAGCTTATTCGGTTCAACCTCGTTGTCCTTGTCTTCTGTGGAAATAGGAATGTCAGAAGTTTGTCTTCCTACCAAACATTTCTTAAATTTTCTGTCTACGTCTCTGACCGCCTATCTTGAGAAACACTACATTAACACCATGTGATTTTAAAACTTTCGATGTATGATATATGTTGTCATGCAGCTTTAGTTACTTCTATGAGATGATAAATCATCTGTCACATAAGGTGCATTTTTCATACATATAGTTCAGTATGGTCAAGTTCTCTGTTTTCTCAGCCTGTTGGGGATGTTAGGTCCCCAGAACTCACTTGGTAAATCCCTAAATTATGTAATTTGATTTTGGAGATTTGAACTTCCACGTTTTCGCTCCAAAAGCGCTCTTTTCACCTTCATGCCTTATTTCTCACTTGACAGAATCTTTAACACTATTGGTCCGTTATGTATTTTAGTATGTTATTTTTGCAACGCTTCCCAAGGACAGTTTTATGCTGTGTACATACGTTTGATTTGAATCTGTTATTATTCAATCGTGCTTCTGGCTTGCGGGATATACATTCCCGTTCCAATCTCCGACTTCTCACTCTAGTTAGCCGGTCTGAGACGCATTAGTATATCTAGCTTATTGGTCTTCGGTCACAAACCTTTGTTGCGTTCGCATACTAAGTGAACTCGTAACCGCTCCAAACCTAGCAAAGCCTCAATGAACAATGTCGCGGGTTGGATTTCATCATAAACACTAAATGTCATTGCACGGATATTTCATTCTGGAGAGAACATATTTGTATGTTCTGAACTGGATGGTTTGACTGTCTTATTTTCACACCAACTAATGAAGAAGGCACACTAGGTAATATAGAAGATTACAATTCGAATTTATGTTTATTCATGTGTTGTAACAAAGAGTAATCGAAATCGAGACCAGGAAGTGATCGATGGGACTAAATGCACGGCAATAATGCTGTTGTTGTTATTGCCTGTCTGGGATGGATACTCAGTTGAACCTCTTCAGTTAGAATACCAAACCTTCACATGATCCTCTTGTTGAGAATAGTAAGTGAAACGGTCATGTGGGCAATATAGTACAGAAGTGGTCTGTTCATGCCACCCAAAACCAACTGTATCGAATGAAAACGATTGCATACATTTACATATAATGGCGCAAAAGTATACTCAAACAGAAAACCGTAAACAAGTATAAACAACGTCACCGTACATCAAAATCGCCAGCTCAATTTAAATGAGTGTATTGACCAGAACCAGAACATCCGTGTTTCGTAACCAGTAAATGAATTTCGAAAATAGAAGGTGATGAGCAGGTGAAAATCATGATCAATATTTATTATTAATTATTTATATTCTCAGACAACAGTATGTTACATGAGGCATAGCAGTTTACAGACAAAATCGAATTGCTAAAAATGCTACAGGCTTCACTTAAATGAGTTTCCCAACTAGGCTGATATGCTTTAAGGCAAATTGGTTGTAGAAACACGGAATCCATTTTCATACATTGGAAAATCAATGTTAATAAGACTATCATGATCAGTGTAAGAGTCGGCATGCTTTATAAGGTTTCGATTAAAAACCAGCGTTCTACGTCAAAATGATCATAACTCAATCATATCGTCATTGGATTTCTAGAGTCATAAGTGAGCTCCTAATTAAAGTAATTGTCCCGTTTCAACTGTGACATAACTACTCGGTAGCAAGTAGGACTAACTAAAGATTACAGACATGAGTCAAAGAGATATTTGGTACAAGAAATTCGCATCAATACCAGTGGCTCGCGACGTCTCACTAGACTATGAGGAGTCGCTACTTAACAACATGTTCTACCCTACAGACATTGGTGACTGTTGTCGATTTTGGAGAGAACCGATCTTCACAGAATATTTCAATCATTTCCAATCTAGAAGCCCAACAACAAGACACAGCATATCTGATATCACCAAACGAAATTGTAAATCATTGGGAATCGTGAGTAAACATATCACATATTCCATGAAGATATGGCACCGAATTAATTGAAAAACATTGAAATTTATTAGTTATGTCTATAGATTTCAATTTCTGATACAATCTCTTTCCATGGTCAAGGTGGCTTCCTGTTCTCCATGTGTTAAATCTTGTATTGGTATACAGACAACATACTGTTTGGCGAATTTCCGTAAACTAACAGAAATGAAGATCACGATTCATTTTGTTATATATTACTACGAGAGATTAATTAACCGAAGACACGAAAATCTTTTATGAAGTGATGCTGTAACGTGGTAGACTAGTGTGTGTGTAGTGTTGCATTTCGTCCTTTGAATCAATGTTATTAGTTGATTTACGAAATTTAGTTGGTCGACTTGCTTTAGGTATTCAGCTTATGTGACGAGTAAAAAGAATGTGTGCTTCATAGGAATATTCATCAATATTAGAACTATTGTTTTGACAAAAATTCGGAGTCAAGTGTAGAAAATTCGTTATATGTGAAAATTATATTTGAAATAACCTTGGTGTTTGTAATTAAAATAATTTCGACGCTTCGTCCAAAAAACGTGTTTGGATATCTTCAGGGTTATAATCTAGGTCATCAAAGAAATATATAGCGTTCAACAATCGGATCAAATCTGTTCTGTGCTAATAAATCATATTGACTTCGGTAACATGAGTCAGTTAAATGCGAATCAGGCGGGAAGTTCATGATATTAAAATAAAAGATTGAACCAACTGTATTTGTGCATCTATATGTAAGATTAGGTTATTAATAGTTGGAATTAGGTGTTAATATGACTTGATGTTAAAAAATTAAAATAAACTGCAAGTTGAAGATTGAGAAATTGATTCTGAATCAATAATGTGCATATAAAACGAGAATCGCCAATTACATAAT